TTAATAACAGGTACTGTAATGCAGTGTGCACAGCCGTTAATAACAGGTACTGTAATGCAGTGTTGAACAACTTTGATGTTCTGTTATACTTTTCAACAGCATTGGACATGAGTATGTTTTTGTGGTGATTGTATTAGGAAAGTTATACATACATAAGGAAAGATGGACTGGTTCTGAACCGAATTTTGTAAAGGACTGTGGTGCCACCGTTTGTAAAGGGAAGAACAGGAAAGCAGTTAAAACATGACATTTTTATTAAATATGCAGCCATAATGTTAGGATATTTGCCCTGGCTGTTCCCCTTTGTAGGTACATTGTTTGTGATTTAGCTATTTCTTCAATAGAAAAGAGCCTAGCTAGACATAAGTTATTTTCTCCTGCACAGAATTATTAATGTTTTAAATACTCACTGCCTTTAAGAAACATTTCTGCTTTATACTCTCAGGGTCAGGGCAAAATGTAAGTCTTAAGGCTGATTATCACCAGACTTCCAACAGTTAAATAATTAACATGGGGCCAGTCAATGGCCACTAACATTAAATCTGGTAGACAAAACAACTACCCACCCCCTTACATATACACAAAAACCCATGATATGACTCAAGAGCTTTGTAATGCCATACTTCCTCACATAACTTCTCGTCAAAAACATGCATGATGCATAATAAAGAATTGAGCATGCACAGTTTGTCCCGAGCTGTGCATACACTGTCCACACGGATACAAATTTAAAGTACAACACACGTTCATCCGCAGAGGAGTACAATTACGTCAAAAGTGTATGCAGACGTGTCCCCATGTATGCATGTGGAACAGTATGAACCAGCCTTAAGACTTTTGCACAGCGCTGTACAGCAGTTTACTAACACTTTGTACAAAGCCAAACTGATCGTTCTTTCTCATTTTAGAGGATGAGTGGTGGTATCAATTGCGTCGGCGCTCTGATTACTTCCCGGTTCATCCTGACAGCAGCCCAATGTCTCATGTCAGCGGACAAACCAACATCGATCTCGATTACAACGGACATCAAACCACGTACGGACTGAGCTTTCCTTCTGTTTCCTGCTCAGCTGCAAAAATGATTGTGCCGTCTGTAGAACTTATATAAATCAAACCCTTCCTGTCCAACGGCCCACATTTTGAACAGCATTTAAATTTGGGTCTTGTGAAAATATATTTTCACAAATTCTTATTATTTTGTTGCTGTTGCACATCATACATTATGCCCACCTGTTTTGCCCAAAAGATAAAAGCAACATTGTAACATTCATATTCTCTCTTTCTATGCAGATTTGAAGTTGAATGTTAAAATGTTTAAAATGCACCCTCAGTATGATATCCGAGCGAAGAAGGATCAGGGAATACCAGAGTTTTACGATTACGATGTCGCTCTCATTCAGCTGGATAAGGATGTGAAGTTTGACGTGAACATGAGGTGAAAATGAGCTGGATAATCACCATAATAATGCTCAACCAAGCAAGTCTTCAGCGGGCAAAAAGCACTTTGTGAGGTTCACAAGTGTGATCCTGCAAGAGTGCTGTAGGAAAAATGCCATTAACCTGATGAGGAACCATAGAAAATGCCAAGCTGAATTTAAACCAGAATCAGAATCATAATTATAAGCAGAATCAGAATCGTATTCAGAATCAGAATCATAATCAGAAACCCCTCCACAAGCCACCGCGTTATCCTGTCTGAGCTTCAGTCTGTCGTGTGCTTAGTACAATGAAATCCTTACTTGAGCTTCTTAAGGGATAGTGCCAATAAATACAAGGCAATGAGAAGAACAATACAAATCAATAAACAAATACCAACACTGACAGACTTACAGCATCAGCTTCTGGTGTAAATACCTGAATAAATAACAGTAAACAAATAGCACCGATAGACTTTGAGCATCTCCTCCTGGCCAGAGGTGGAAATTTCAGGTCCAGAAAGTACAAATCCAGACCAGGATTTCGTTTCAACCAAGCAGTTGAGTACTCTGTAACTGTGACTCTTTATGCCCAACTTGTTGGTTGAAACTAAATCACGGTCTGGACTTGTACTTTCTGGACCTGAAGTTTCCACCTCTGCTCCTGGTGCAGGTACCTGAACAAGCAAAGGTTTCGATGTTCCTCACGGCTGAGATAGCTGACACTCGTGTCCTTTCGCCCTTCTCTCTTTAAGGCCAATCTGTATTCCCTGCACTAAGATGACCAGTCATGCCTTAAGGTTGCCGGAGACTGCGACGTGTAAAGATCACGGTGAGTTCGTCAGTTCTGCTTTTGCCGAGAAGCATGACTGCAATGTGCATTTATGGCTGCACGCTTGCCGCCCGCAAACATTTGGATGACGGCTTCCGTTTTATGTTTCCAGAGGACATCCTCTTAAGAAGTAAATTTGAACAGGCAAGCTTTACAGCTGCAACTACTTACATAAAGAAAAATGTCACCATCAAGCTAGGCACTCAGGTGAGCGTATGCAGCCGATCCGTATCACCGTCACACGGCGAAATATTCAGACGCCATCTTCATCTGCCCTTGTCACGTCATCCCCACCCAACACCATCACAACTTAATGAGAAGAACCTCCTGCTGTCCTTTTCCTGAATCCCCTTGGCATTATTTCCATCCATCCACCCATTCATCCATCCATCCATCCATCCACCCATTTTCTAAACCTCCTGCACATGGTCACAGTGGAGACCCACAAAGCCATGGGGTGAACATGCACACTCAGTGATCACAGAGCGCAGCTCCGTTAGGGCTTTCAGTTCTCCTTAAACCAGAGATCCCCAAATGGAAACAGCTGAGGACCATCTACGCCTAATACCTGATCACAGAGGTGATTAGGAGTTATGGACCAGGGGGCCTTTGAGAGTGTTTCCAGTGGTTGATAACTGATACATCTCTGTGAACCACTTTCTACTGCCCTACAAAGCCTGAAGGTGGGTCACAGAGCCCTGGTTGGCCTCCTGTACTGAGCTGTCCATGATTAAGCAAACAGTGCTGTTTTTCTTGCAGAGGGACAGTTGTATTGGAGATGCTATACATGCAAAAGGATTAAGGGTGACAAAAGCCAGTGACATTGTGACAGATAACTTCCTGTGCACGGGAGGGATTGATGACAAAATAAACAACATCGCATGCGGAGGTGACTTTGGGATGAGTGACTGCTGCATTCCTGAAATATTGCAGCGTTGCATTTCCTCTTTGCTTTGCTGCATCCTGTTGCATTTCACATGTCTGTCTGTCACACAGGTGATTCGGGTGGAGCTTTGTATGTAGAAAGGAAGAAACGTTTGATCCAGGTGAGAATTTATTGACGTAGAATCTACTGACGTAGAATTTATTGACGTAGAGTTATCATGACTCTGTTCTGCCGCATTCTGACTGTTTAACCGGTGCGATCGATCTGGATCAGTTGTTGGGTATATCGACCGCACTGTGTGAATTTGACACTTCTTTGCTTCTTTAGGTGGGGATTACAAGCTGGGGTGTTGAAGATTTGTGTAGAACCGACAATACAATTATTTCTACAGAGCATTCCAGGGATTTCCACATTAATCTGTTTAAAGTTCAGCCATTCATCAGAGAATACCTGGAAAAAGAAGATGAAGATTATGGTCCAACAGCTTTTATCAACTGATCAAGTTTAGTACAGTAAAACCTCGGATTACGAGCATGATTCGTTCCAGAAACGTGCTTGTAATCCAAAGCACTCGTATATCAAAGCAAATTTTCCCATTAGAAATAATGGAAACTCAGATGATTCGTTCCACAACCCAAAAATATTCATATAAAATGGTTAATACAAAATATAAATTAAAAATACATAAAACAAATTAACCTGCACTTTACCTTTGAAAAGAATCGTGGATGGTGTGAGGGAGACGAGAGAGAGGAGAAGAAGAGGGTTATTTTGTAGGACGAATTTCACTATAACTAACGGAATCACTGCTATCTGTTGGCTCACTGGAATCTTTTTCTTTTTGCGCGACTTTAACAAGGAACCTATTCAATGACAGCCGCTTTTCGATTTCGTGGAAATGTGGACATTGCATTGTTGTTAAACAGATTTATTGCTCGCATTGCTACGGCCTTATTCGGGTGGTGCTTTTCTACTAAATTTTCACTATACGAGCGAAGCACGCCGACTGACACTGCATGGGAAATGATTACCCACAATCCTACAGTGAGAGAGAGAGAAGAACTATCGGCTCAGTTTTGATCACGTGATGCTCGGCAAACAAAGCATATACGTAATACTGGTATTGCAAGACCTTGCTCGTTTATCAAGTTAAGATTTATTAACAATTTTTGCTCCTCTTGCAAAACACTAGCAAACCAAGTTACACGCAATCCAAGGTTTGACTGTACTTTAATCTTTTTGATCATGTGGCAATTTTTTTTATTATTGAAATGCTATTCATGTGCTTATCAGAATGTAATTAAATTTCAATTTGTTTAATTTCACATTTTGTGCTTCTAATTTAGTGTATTACAAAGGTTCTTCGTATATTGTGTCTTTCTTTTTGTGCAAAACCGGCAATACAATTATTTCTACAGAGCATTTCAGGGATTTCCACATTAATCTGTTTAAAGTTCAGCCATTCATCAGAAAATACCTGGAAAAAGAAGATGAGGATTATGGTCCAACAGCTTTTATCAACTGACCAAGTTTAGTACTTTAATCTTTTGGATCATGTGGTAAATGTTTTTTATTGAAATGCTATTCATGTGCTTATCAGAATGTAATTAAATTTCCACTTTTTGTGTTTCTAATTTAGTGTATTACTAATGTTCTTTGTGTATTTTGTGTCTTTTTTTAAGTCTCAACTGAAGTTTCAAATAAGTCATTTTCCCGAATGAAATCTGGACATTTGTCGAGTGAACTTGTGATAAAGATTTAATAGGATCTCAGAATATTACTTTTCTCAGAATAACAGGATCTAATCCTTAAAACGTTGGTCATTATTCCATTTTTTACCATTGAAAACATTTTAGTTTTATGCAGTACCTGTTCCCGGAAAATTATTTACGCTGACTGCTCTTTGTAGTCAGAATTGGACGGGCCCTGACATGGTATAACCTCAGTAAACATTTGTATCTTATCTTAAATGATTAGTGGACTTGACACAAACGTAAGCACATTTTGTTTGACTGACTCCTAACACACATGCCCCACGTTGACGAGTCGCTTCAGTCAGTGAAAAGCAAAGTTAACGACTGAAAAAAATAGTCGAGCTTGTGGAAGCTAGAGAGTCTAAACAAATCAGAGTGAGTTATTTATAAAAACTGTAAAATGCAAAGCATTGCATAAATAACATCGGTTTTCAAAATTGTCTTTTGATTCTTAATGCTGGCAATGTAGTGTAAGGAATACATGGAGGAGATTAAGGTGAAAAGCATCTGGCCCCCCAGCTGAAATGGTGTAGAACCGCCACTGCCAGTCCTTCCAGAAACAAACCAAAGAAAGAAAGGAACTGTTGGCACTGCACTTGGTGATGTGAGGCTCGCATGCAGCTGCTTGGCCCTGGAAGCCCATTCCATGAAGCTCCCACTGTACAGTTTTGGTTCTGGGGTTAATGGCAGAGGAAGTTTGGGACTCTGCAGTTATTGAGTCAACAGAGCCCTGGCACCTTACACAGTGCGCCTCAGCACCCGGCAACCCGTGATCTGCCACTTCATGGCCGAGTTACTGTTGTTCCTAAACGCTTCCACTTTGCAATAGTACCACTTACAGTTGACAGTGGAATATCCAGCAGGGAAGAAATTTCACAAACTAAACTGCAAAGGTGGCATCCTATGACAGTACCACACTTGAATTCCCTGAGCTCTTCAGAACAGTCCATTCTTTTATAAAAGTATTCTTTCATAACCTGACTGCATGGCTGAGCGCTTGATTTTATACACCTGTGGAGTCATTGGTCTAAATGAAACACATGAATTCAGTGATTAAGTGATGTGTCTCTGCATATTATAGAATTACCGTAGCCTAATTATTATATCCGAGGCACATATTATGTAAGATTTTAATTACCATAATGAAAAGTATAAAATCCTGCAAAGAAGCCAAATAATTATAGCAGGGCTATTCAAATCACGGTCCTCAAGGTCCGAGCACTGCTGATCTTCCAGCCTCTGTGTCAATAGGAATCAATTATTATTAAACTATCTGGGAGAACTGACAACAAGGCCTGGATTTGGAATCGAAGTCCGGATTTTAAAAGCTCCTAATTATAGTTTTTCAGCATTACTGCACACCGTTTTGCATTCAATTATGGGCATGGGAACGCTGGTTATGGTCTGCGTTTCCCCGACGCAGGGGGAAGGATTTGACTGTCACCCTCGTTTCCGTCGCGCTGCCATAGAAACAGAAAGCCTATTAGGGATTAGTGTTGCTAAGGAAAGAGGGAGTTTCATAACAAGCCTGACGGAGTATGTGAGGTTTTTGGGCGGCTACGAGCTCTGGGTAATCAGTTGTAGCGGATAGCAATGGCCACGACTGTGTCGGAGACTAAAGACAGGTAAGCAGCTGCCGTCTATTGCTGCCTTGGTCGTTTGCTCCACTTGAACATGAGCGGCCAGTAACTGCGTGTATGTGGCGCTGCATTTCCGCGCTCGTAAGCCATACAGCCTGACATGGTCTCTGTTTTCTGAAGGTATGGTTCGTGGAGTAAATCTGAAATTCATGCTCGTGTACATTTTAAAGCCCCAGTACGTTGCTGTTACGTGCCGAGCTGCATGTAATCGCATTATTGGGATAAGTCTGCTGTCGCTTAAAATGCAGGGACATTACATTGCTTGCATTAAGAGTTTACATTAACAGATATATAAAATACCTTCTCTTTATATTTTAAAATATATTTATTTGAATTGATTTTACTGTCTAGACATGAGACATACAATCTGCGGTTAATGAAGTAGCGGCAGGAGATCTGTAACAATCCTGGAGACGATGCATCCTGGATGAGATGCGCCTGGATGGTTCACCCGCTTGTGCTTATTTTTCAGCGGCGAAGCCAATTCGAAGTGGCTAGATGCACATTACGATCCAGTGGCTAACCTTTACACCTTTGCATCCTGCATTGGTGAGAGACCCTTTCGCTACGAATCTCCATTACTAAACATTTACTCTACTTCCAGTGCCATTTCTTTCAGGTGTACATTTCATTCCTTCCAAAAAGTAACCATTTAACCTATCATTTGTTCTTATCCACGGCCTGTTCTAAGCAGTAGGGGTGCAGTTCCTTTTCAAAAGTTTGTCGGATAAGGATGTTAAGCAGCAGCTACAGCGGGATCTTAATTTAATTAGTGACTGGGCCGACAACTGGCAGATGAAATTTAACATAGACAAATGTAAGGTACTCCATGTAGGGAGCAGAAATATAAAGTAC